GCTACTGGGAGAACAGGGTGAGGGATTATGATGGGCTGCCTTCAGCCCAGCGGCAGAGCATGTCTCCAGGTCACCCAGGGGTGTGTGTGTGGGTGTGTGCGTGCGTGCGTGCGTGTGTGCCTGCGTGCTTGCCCAGGCCCTCACCATGTTTTATTCTGCAAAGAGAGATGCTGTTTCAGACCAGAAGCAGATCTACACCTGGTCAAATATTGTAAGTGACACGCAGGTGCATGGAGGAAGCAGGGGAGAGAGTTGGTCCCCAAAATGGAAAGAAAACATGTGATTGGCCATTGTGGGAGGAAGCAGGAATTCTGGGAAGACAATGATCTCTACTGCCACCATCCGTGGTTTCTTCAAAGGTGTTCCAGAATACCAAGCAATGCTCAGCAACGGTTCAGGTGCAACATCTCTAACCTTGAATCTGCACCACATGACTAAGTTTTCATTTCATCAAGCTTGAAATCAGGTCAACTCAAAATATTTGAGCCTTTGTTGTTGTTGTTGAAAAGAGGAACTTTTATGCTCCTCCCTCAGTGCATCAGTAACCATTTAGAGTTATTGGAGGTCAGTCGTTTATCTCGGTTCAACCGAAAGAGGCATATTGTAGTGACATTGTCAGTATTTCTACTTCCTCTTACCTGGTAGAGTATGCCAGCCAGCTCCATTACCTTTTGGCAGAAGTTTCGATTCCATTAAATTGTTTGCCTATTTTCCGCTTGCCACATTGCCGGTGTTTCAGAACAGAGCTCAGAGAAGGCAACTTTGCCAGCAGCTATTACGAGGAAATGATTCGTTTACCACATGGGTAGGCAAACTAAGGCCCAAGGGCCAGATCCAGCCCAATCACCTTCTCAATCCAGCCCGCGGACGGTCCGGGAATCAGCGTGTTTTTACATGAGTAGAATGTGTGCTTTTATTTAAAACGCATCTCTGGGTTATTTGCCGGGCATAGGAATTCATTCACCCCCCCCCCAAAAAAAATATAGTCCGGCCCCCACACAATGTCTTAGGGACAGTGGACCGGCCCCCTGCTGAAAAGGTTTGCTGACCCCTGGTTTAGCATTTCCTACTTCTGGCACTAAGTTGGCCTCATTCTGCACACTTCACTAGAGAAAAAGAGGCACATGCCATTACTCTTTACATCTGTTTGCATGTATATGGCCTTTTAAACTGTGGGTTTTTTATTGTTTAGTTTGTTATTATGTTATGTATTTTTGTGTTTTTGTACTGTAAACCACCCTGTGATGCTCAGATGAATGGCGTTATAATGATGATGATGATGATATGCAGAGGGCTGCTAGAATATTGCTGTTCTGACACCTCCAACATCTACTGAAATGGGAATAGATGAGTCACATTGAGCAGATGCCTCACTTTCCCTCTTTTGTTTGGCTGTGCTCCACCTTTTATGCAGAGAGCGTGTTCCATCTAGTGGACGACAGCAGCTAGCACAGGAAGCCAGAGCCTTTCATGCAAAGCTGTTTATTCTCTAAGCACTTGAGATGTTGCAACCAAAATTTTGCATGCTGGTTCCTGACATCAAGGACCATGTTTTTGTCTATGTCTGGATAAAATCAGACACCATTTCGAATCAAGAAGGCAGACTGAATCTTTCAAAAGTGCACTGATTCTGACCACTGATTTCAAGGCTGCGCAGAATTTTTTGGGTTTCTTATAGTTCCCAAGCAATGCTAGATAGGAGGCTGCTAGTGCTGTCATACATTTGGTTTATTGATTACCTTGACTGCTTTGTGCAAACAGGTGAGAGAAATATACATGAAGCTGATGTATTTTGGCTCAAAATTTGACCCAAAACACTCTAAATGAAGGTGAAAAGATAGCTGTAGATTTGCAATTGTAGATGGATGTCATTATCGCAATATGTGGCTCATGCACTGCTGTCTATAACTGGCTCTGCTCTATTTCCCAAACCATGATTTTGTCTCTGGTTTCCATGGGGAGGGGAGCGGTGCTAAAAAAACCCCAAAACCCTCTAAGCATCCTAAAGTCTGCTCTGCCTCCATGGCCAGTGGTGGTCATGCCCTTGTGTTCAGCTCCTGCTTACTGGCTTCCCACTGTGCAAACAGGATGCTGGACTCAGTGGGCCCCTGGCCTGATCCAGCAAGCTCTTCTTACTTTCTTATGCCCCATAGACGAATGAAGCTGTTCCTCCATTCATGCAAGGGCCTGAAGGGCCTTTTCAGTAGTGGCTCCAACCTGGTGGAATGCTTTGTCCCAAGAGACTAGGGCCCTTCAGGATTTAACCTTCTTCCGTCAGGCCTGTAAGACAGAGCTATTTCACCTGGCCTTTAATTTGAATTCAGCCTGATCTTTTATTTCCCTTCTCTTCCCTCCCCTTCCCCTTTTATGAAGATTACCTGCTCTGAGACCCCACAGATAATTCTTCCCTGGCCTCCTCACTGGCCCAAGTAGGACCAATTCAGCCAACTAGCCCTGGTGATTATCTAATGCTTATTAGATGGATTTCCCCTAAATTGATTTCTGAACTTTGAATTTTATTGTTATTTGTGTTTTTATGCTGTGTTTTATGCTGCTTTTACAACTGTTTTAAATAATTTGTTGTTAGCTGCCCTGAGCCCGGATTTTGAACCGGGAAGGGCAGGGTATAAATTTAATTTTTTTTTTATTATTTATTATTATTATTATGCAAGCTGCTTGGTTCCTATATGGAGCTGCATTGAGCCGTGATCAAAAATGCAAGAAGAGAAAAAATTCTTTACTTGTTCCTCACAGTGTTTTTAAACAGAACAAACTTTGCATGTCTAGAATCTGTACTTATGTTAGGGAATCCTCTGGCCTCCAAGGAAGATGCTGTCCACTGCTGCTTTGGCAGGGACAGTGACCAACACACTCCTTGGAGACCAGATCTGCCACCTCCTTGGCAGCCTTCTCCCCAAATGCCATCTCCACAGCAGCGCTACTGGTCTCCTTCCACCCCAGGGAGGTGGGGCGCCCTCCGGGGGTCTCCAGGTTTTTGCACCCACCCGTGAAACGGCCTTTTAGTCACACTTCAACCCTTGAGTAAGGTTGATTTGACTCCCTCGCTTCCTCCTGAAGTAGATCTTCATACCCCTCTTGTCCCTGATGTAGGTCTCCATTCACTCCTTCTTCCCTGGAAGTGGGGTGGCATTTGTGTTTTCGTCTCAGGTACCAAAATGTCTTGGGCCGGGCCAGGGTTTGCGGGGGCAGAGCCTGCCAGTACAATCAGGTGGAGCTGAATGCTCCTACTTTACTTAAGTATTCTTCATCAATGAGAACAAGGCCACCACCTAGTGACCACCAAAGGGAACAATCATGCAAAATTATGGGAGCAGCTGGCTAAGCATGTTTATCATATTTATGCTGTCTAAAAATCATTCCTGGCCCCAGAAATCCTATGGAGATGGGGTGGAGTGGGGAGGGGAGGGAGTCTACACTTCATAAAGCTAAAGGTAGAGGGACCCCTGACCATTAGGTCCAGTCGTGGCTGACTCTGGCGCTCATCTCGCTTTACTGGCCGAGGGAGCTGGCGTACAGTTTCCGGGTCACGTGGCCAGCATGACTAAGCCGCTTCTGGTGAACCAGAGCAGTGCATGGAAACACCGTTTACCTTCCTGCCGGAGTGGTACCTATTTATCTACTTGCACTTTGACGTGTTTTCGAACTGCTAGGTGGGCAGGAGCAGGGACCAAGCAATGGGAGCTCACCCCGTAGCGGGGATTTGAACCGCCAATCTTCTGATCGGCAAGTCCTAGGCTCTGTGGTTTCACCCACAGCGCCACCTGCATCCCTACACTTCATGACCACTTCCTAATCCTGCCAAGCCTGCACCAGGCAGGGCAGAGGATGGGGTGCTTCCCCCCTTTTTAGATCACTCCAATGGGAGGGCAAACCGCCATACTAGCTCCTGGGGCGGGTGTGGTTTTTCTCCCCAGTCTGGTAGATCTCTGAGGAAAGCAGGGAGAGCTTTAGCTATTGTGGATCTTAGGCCTCCCTGATCTGCCCTCTGCACAGCAGGCCCCAACTATTCAGCCACAACATCAGAGAACAACAACTGCGGCTTTTATCTTCCACCAGCCTGAAGGCTGGGCCATAGATACCAGGAGCACAGGAGTTTGGTAAACTGCTTGTGGGTCCCTCCCCCCCTTACAATCAAGCTATATATAAATTTTATGGGGTGGGGAAAACATATCTTGATCCTAAAATATCAAGAACTATTGCAAATGTCAGCAGTTACCACATTGCCGACATTTACTGTGGGAGACAGGGATTGAGAAATTTAAACTTCCTATCCCACATGTGTGGGAGAAATAAAGAAAGTAAATGGGCTGTGAAGCCTTTTGAGCAGAGTAAAGCAGTTATACATTTTGCAGTTTACTAAAGCTGAGGAATATAAGGCAATTACACCATTTTATCCCTTTTATTTGTGGTCTGTTGACCTCCCCTTCTTCACTTCCGTTGCAGAGAATGAACCACATGTTTTTAGTAAGATAAGCAAAAAAGATTTACAGTGGTACCTCTAGTTATGAACTCAATTCATTCCAGAGGTCCGTTCTTAACCTGAAACTGTTCTTATCTAGAGGCACGCTTTCGCTAATGGGGCCTCTTGCTGCCGCTGCACCGCCAGCACACGATTTCCGTTCTCATCCTGGGGCAAAGTTCTTAACTCGAGGTAACTCTTCCAGGTTAGCGGAGTTTGTAACCTGAATCGTTTTTAACCCGAGGTGTTTGTAACTCGAGGTACCACTGTACTTACATTTCAATGCAGACAGCAAATGCAGTACAGGTAAGAAGTATCAAAGATTATCTCTTTGTTACAGATTTCCTGCCCAGAGGAGGGAGGGGAAGTGACCACATAGAGAGTCCTCTCCAGGAAGTTCAAGAACTCTCTGTGTACTGGCCCTGTGCCTGTCTAGCAAAACATGCATTTGTGACTTGGCTGCAAACCCCACACTTTGCACCGAAGTCAAGCCATAGTGTTGTGTTCTTTTTCATTTCAGCTTGCAAACGGAAAGAGCAAGAGCATGGGAAGGACAAAAGTAACACCCCCAAGAAGCCCAGGTTGGTCTTTACGGACGTCCAGCGCCGGACTCTACATGCAATATTCAAGGAAAACAAGCGCCCTTCCAAAGATTTGCAAATCACCATTTCACAGCAGTTGGGTCTGGAGCTCAGCACGGTCAGTAACTTTTTCATGAACGCGCGACGGAGGAGCCTGGATAAGTGGCAGGAGGAGGGCGGCTCCAGTTCAGGCAACTCATCTTCTTCATCAAGCACTTGTACCAAAGCGTAAAGAATTGACCACAAACTAATCTTCGGTGGAAAAGCTTTAAAAATAACTGAACAGGACTTCAAGAAAGCAGGTTTATACTTCAACTCTTTTTAAAAAATGTTATTTATAAGCCCCAAAGAAACCAAAGACTTAACTTTACCTGATGATGACTTGGCTAGAAGAAACACACTTTAGTGGGATGATGGCTTGCAAAATGAAGAGACTGGGAAAAGAGGGCAGGCTGCTGGCTTTACACCTTTACACCATGATCTCTTCCGCCCTATGTGGCCGGTTAGTGATCTGGAGGGCAGCCATTGCTTCTTACCAGTGATGAGGATGCTCTCGGATACGGCTCTTTGTTTCTACGGCAACACCATGGAGGTGAAAGATGTACATAGGATTCCGGGTGCCCACCAGCAGCGAGGAACATAGCCAGAGCTGGTCTCAGAAAGTACAACCATAACAGCATTGAGTCACATGAGTTCGTTTTAAAAAGTAGTGCTCTTTTAATTGTTTGAACTTTTTCCAGTTCAATACCTGGATACAAGTTCAGATAAGAAATTCGAATGCTTCCTGAACCAATTGCATTCTCTTTGTTTGTTAAGGGATGTGTCCATTTTAAAAAAAACCAAACAAACAAACAAACCAAAACAACCCCACAATTTCATTGTAAAACTATCAGGTAGGTACCAAAGAACACATTTCTAATTATATTGCAGGTATTTTGTTGCAATGCTTTTAATACACCAAAGCTATTTTTACACAAAATTCTATGCACAGATGTAAGGGTAAACACCTCATTGTTGTCAGGCATCCAGCTTTAAGCAAGACAAACCGTTGTTCCAACTGTGGCAATTTCCTCTGCACACAAGTGATACATGACAGTAGTGTAGAGCCGATAGGATGGTAAACTACACTTTGTGGAGGACCCTGCATTTGTTGATGTGCAAACCCAGGGCTCCAGTAGAAATACTTGATAGTCTCCCCAAGTCAGAAAAGAGGCGTATACTACAGAAATTCAGGTTGCCCATGTGTGTCAAACTACCTTTTTTATTACTAGAAATTCTAGGCAAACAGCTGCTATGTCTTGCTTCTAGACAGTGTGCATTTTATTTACATATATATTTATGCTCGTAAAATTTAAATTATAATTGTTTAAAATACAGGCAACAACTTTTCCGCACAAGCTAAAGTGAGGCACAAGGCAACCAAGAGTTGTTGGGGCTCCTGCTACCTTAGGGTGAAATCCTAGTCCATGACCTTAAACCAATGGAAGGAAGTTATTTTGAAGTCCGTGCAGATATTTTTTAAGAAGATATGGTTAAAACTAGGAAGGAATTCTAATGATATTGAAAGTACATGAAGAAACCTCTGTTGCTTCCCGTAGGAAGCAGGCCTCACAATGTGTTCTTTTAGGATGGCAGGGGCAGAGGCAGTTTGGAGTGCCACCAGTTGTATGAAAGCTTAAACCAAATTTAACTTAAACCCACTTGACCTATTGCTCAAGATAAGCAACCCAGTGTCAACAGCACCATGACATTTCCCTAGTGTTGCAGGGATGACAGGATGGCATCGCAGTAAGCTCAGGATTTCATCACCAGCTGAAATACAGAATCTTCTGGGCTATGAATCAGATGGTGTATTAGTACTGAAGCCCATATAAGCTTGTCATTTGGGAATTATAGAGACCAAGAGCAAACCTCTTTTAGGCACCGCGAACAACTGAATCTGGCCCATTCCTCTGTTGGCGCTTACTAGGTTGTTCCCTGGGTGCAGGGTTTTGTTTTTGTTTTTGCACATCTCTTATTTATTTATTATTTATTTATTTATTTATTTATTTATTTATTTGAGAGAGTTCTATACAGATAAGATTTAACAGGCACATTGTTTTGTGAATGAAAAGTTTTGAATGCATGGTTGCAAGTAATTGTTCACCCATCTAATGAAAACTTCCATTTTACATGTAATGGAAGCAGCAGTGTTTACATTTGGTGACTTGGCTTGTCTTACGCTTATTTATTTATTTATCAAATATGTATATGCCCACCCCCCTTGTCCGTAGATCTCAGGGCAGTCCACAGCATAAAAAATACAAGATAAAAAACACAAAATGCATAGGACAATAGATATATAAATGTGCACGTATATCTCTTAGATCCTGGGATATTGATATGAAACACTTTCTTTTAGTAAATCAGGGTTGTAGTTAAGAGGATCAAGTTACAAAAACTGTCATGTTAAATCCATATTCCCCCAGCCCCAGCTCCCCCCCCCCAAGGTAAACTCCTATGAAAGGAGTGTGGTGAGGCCTACAGGGTGCAATGCAGCAGGGCCAGACTTTGACCATACAGGTCATACCTTGGGTTAAATGTGCTTCAGGTTGAGCGTTTTCAGGTTACGCTCCGCGGCAACCTGGAAGTAACGGAGTGCGTTACTTCCGGGTTTCGCCGCTCGCGCATGCGCAGACATTCAAAATGACGTCCCACACATGCGCGGAAGCGGCAAATCGCCATGCGCACATGCGCAGACACAGGTTGCATTCGCTTCAGGATGCAAATGGGGCTCCGGAACGGATCCCGTTCGCATCCAGAGGTACCACTGTAAAATAAGCTTGGGGTGACTCTACAGAGACCAAGGAACACGTAAATATTTTGGAAAGCTCTTGACTGTGGGAAACTGTACCAAATACTCCACTGCAAACCTTTTCTCCCTAAAGAGGCTACTTAATGGCAGCACTTAGTATAACTTATTTTGAAAACAGGGCTTACACTTTGTTCCACAGCATCAGGGTTGCTCATTAAGTATCTGAAAGAAGCAGATTTGAGGTTTCAACTTAATCTGAAGAAGTTGCGATTCTGCATTGCAGGGAGTTGTCCCTTCCAAGTCTACGATTCTGTGATTCTATGAGTGTTGAGACCTGCAGTCAGGTCTTTAAGACTGCAGTCCCATGTACTCTGGCCAGTCATACTGATCAGATGTGCACAGATTTCTGTCTCCAAATATGCTTTCAAAATATATTATGCAACAGAGACTGTGCACATTTCAGGGTATGGAATAAACTAAAACTTAAGTAACCGAATCTCAACTTAGCTTGATATTTCTGTCTGCCCCGCCCCACCCCCGTTGGGTTCATTAAAAAAAAAAAATAGACAAGCCAGTTTTAACTTGCAATATGATTTGTGACTATTTCACTTTATGATTTTAAAATTTAGGGAAATGTTGCTTTTGTTAAACCTCAAAAATTCAGAAATGGAGGAATATTTAAACTACATTACCACAGGCTAGTGTTATTTCCACTGTAATGTATTTTGAGACAACATGCTAAAACCAAAGAGAATAATACCAGCATATGCTTTTTACCCAATTATGCAATTTCAGTATCTCTCGCTAGATGTTTATATTTAGAATTCATTGACTTTCACAAGCGATCATTTGATTCGCCCCAAATGCTCTGTTCAAGATACAGGCCATCCTCTTTGGACAAATGTAATATGTGAACTGGGCAGTTGCGGATGCAGCCGTCAGCAATTTGTACCTTCGTAACAACTGGAAAAGGATCACAATGCCAGAAATTGCTGCCAGCTTATCTCTGTATTCATGTACACACAGAACTGCCAGCTGAGGTCTGGACTGCTTGTATGTATAAGAAAATGTATTTTGGAGAAACACCCCATTATTTTATAGCTTTTCTCACACAAGTAAAAGGTAAAGGGGCCCCTGACCATTAGGTCTAGTTGTGGCCGACTCTGGGGTTGCGGCGCTCATCTCGCTTTATTGGCCGAGGGAGCCGGCGCACAGCTTCTGGGTCATGTGGCCAGCATGACTAAGCCGCTTCTGGCGAACCAGAGCTGCGCAAGAAAACGCCATTTACCTTCCCGCCGGAGCGGTACCTATTTATCTACTTGCACTTTGACATGCTTTCGAACTGCTAGGTGGGCAGGAGCAGGGACCGAGCAACAGGAGCTCACCCCATCACGGGGATTTGAACCGCCAACCTTCTGATCGGCAAGTCCTAGGCTCTGTGGTTTAACCTACAGAGCCACCCGTGTCCCTTTCTCACACAAGTAGGTCCTAGTTATTCCTTTGGGAGCTGGCTTCCCTAGGTATGCCCTTCTGGGTGGGAAATGGGTTGTGCAATTGGGTTCTGCAAGCATCATTCCCCAACGTCATTGACATCATCTGCTGCGAGAATCTGCTCTTGCAACTTGCTTCCCCTCCTGCCAATCAATGCACTTCCCAGGTCTATGCAGGCACATTGGTCGGATCAGGCCCATAACGTTGTACTTTCCCAAACCCCGCTTCTCATGTTGCCCAAGGCAATTTGCCACCGTGCATTTTGAATGGCCATGTTTGCTCTTTAGTCTTTCAGGTCAGACAAGGGTCTTTAGTAAAACCAAACCAGGAACCAGAATTTAACCCCTAATACTTGAAGTGGCCCATTAAGTGGCGCAGGCTGGTTATCTCATTTTACTCTTGCAGAAACCTTTACAGCCAGCCTCTTATAGGCTGCTCCCACCCCCCACAATCCTTATAAGCCCCTATAATGTTGTACCTCCAAATTCTTATCATCTTGGGGGTTCTGTGAAGACACATGCCACCGACACCAAAACATCTAAATGGGTTAAAGTTGAGGTAGGTGGTCACTTTAAACGCATCAATATGCTTCTGAATACCAGTTGATGGGGGAGCAACAAGAACTTCAGTTTTCTTATGTGATAACTTTGCTGAAATCATAAACAATGTAGAAATGACTAGTCACACTCCAGCTGCAGTAAAGGATTTAATTTACTGCTCACCAAAGTGTTAAAAGTTTGTTTTGAACTCAAATTACATCTCAACCCACACAAAAATGCTTTAAATATATATATACCCCAAACATTGCAGCAAGGACAGGCTTTCATTTTTCTACATACATGAAGCAAAACAGCAGAATTTCTTCTTTATTTTTAAGTTGCCTCCCTAGCTCTGTATCTCAGGCGTCGGCCCACGCAGCACATTGCCTTAACCACATGAATGGCCCCACTAATGGCAAAGGGAACTTTCATGACGTTCAATTCTATTGGGTGTGTGAGGTGTTTATATACTGTCAGGTGTCAGTTGGACTGGCCTTAAAGATTGCAGAATCTGGTCCAAGTCCACATGAACATTTTGCCCAAATGGACTGAAAGTCCATTGCTGGCTTTGCTTATACCAAAGAGTCATAAAACACAGTTCTTCACCAGAGTTGAACAAACCTGTTCCTCACAAAGGGACAGACCCATCTCCTCATTTTTTCTTCTTTTGGATGTGAACACTATGCATTTAATGAACAAAGAGAAAGCAACAAGCTATCTAACTGTGTTTGGGATGCATTCAATGGCCCTAGAGACCAATTGGGAGTCTTTCTTTGGCTTTATGGGTTATTTATTGTGGGTTAGTTTTACAATGCATTTTGTAACTATTTCCTTTAAACAAAGAAGCAGAAAGGAAGGAATACTTACACTACAATTTAAAAAATGAAAAGAAGAGGAAAAAGTGTGTTAAAGCTCTACTATTTATAGTGTGAACCAAAGATGCTACCTCACTCAATTTCCACTGGTGATTTTGATCGCATTGATGAAACCAAAGAATACCAAAGATTTTTCATGCACGGCCTGAGTCTGAAAAGGGAACTCATTCTGCTAAATCTTCCGTTTCAATTTACTTAGTGTGTAAATTTGTCTTCATTCATATCTGTAATAACCACACTGGCTTATCACAACCATGATGGCAACCGTGACAATAGAGCTCTAGGCAACCGTGTTGCAAACTTTATAAACTAGGATGAGTGCCTTGCTTGAACCAAAGTGTTAAACCGCTCTTGACCTCTTTATATCTCACCTTTGAATACCTCAGCCTAATAGAAAGGCCACTGATTAAAAATAAACGGAATAATTCTTCACCGTGGTGCTTTTTGCCATGCTATCATGCAATGAAACTTTCTTTGATACCAAAGGAAAAAATACTTGTTTTGATTTCCACTTCCTTGCTGACAAACCAAAGGTTTCTCCTTTCCCCTTCCAAGTAGCTTGAGTCCTCTACCTAGACAGGCCGTGCCTTACTTTTATCAATTCCTCCAAATACCTCATATAATAATAAATCATTAGGGTTGTGTTGTATAAAGAATCTATGTGCTAAGGCAGAAGTTACTCGTTTGCTAATTGTCAAGGTTGTTTTGAAGGTTTTGTCTTATTTATTTGGGAAGTTTGATTTCTTTGTATGGATTATTTTGCTTGAGCTGGGGTTTTCTTTCCTCCATCTGTTTTGCCAGAACTGCTCAATAACCCAACAAAGATCTTTCTTCAAAATGGGTTTGGGATGTTGAGGCTGTTGTTGTTGAATAGTTTAAGAAAGGGATTCCTCACCCCCCCAGTGGTTTGAAGACTTTTTGTTGACTTGTCAATGTCCTTTTTACAGGGTACAAACACAGACGTGTTCCTATTTTTTCTAATATTGTATGCTTTTAATTGAAATTATGATTTATATATGTTTATTGAACCAGAGCAGCTTATGACAAACTTGTATATAATAACCAATATTTTATGTTATAATATTTTGTGTTTCTGATGTTATGACCATCTGAAGTTCTATGTGCTTCACAAGACTGTTTTTTCCCAACTGGATCTTCAGCACAGTTTTAGCAAGTGCTTCAATGTGCATTATTCTGAACACTGCCAGGTTCCCCTCCCTTCCTCCAAGATAACTTGTACATGCCAAAATGAGTGTTTCAAGGTAGTACTTTTGTCACATAGAATGCAGAACAGCACTCTTAATGAAGTTTCCCCTCCCTTTAATTTATTTGCATTTTCCGTTAAAGTTTATTTTGTGGGCAAGATCTGCCCATCCAAAGAGCTTGACATTTGTTCCATTTTTAAAAGCACACACATTTGTGAGAGACTTTGCTTTTTGTTGTTGCTGTGATGGTGGTGGTGGTTGTGTTCTTCTTCATTCATACAGATAAGAATAGCAGAACGCAGGAAACTAAGCCAACGTGAAAATGGACCTAGCCTTCAGTAGATGAGCAACAGCAAACATCTTTAACATGGCAAAGGCAATGCACTCAGATTTTCTCTGGCCATTGCAGGAGTCCCAGGAAATGCAGCCCACTTGCTATTACTAGATGGGTATCCCAGAATGAGGGAGAACATTCTTTCCCGTTCATCAGCTTGTAGGAATGTCCTGGAAGAATAATGTATCCATCACACACTAGCATGCAAAAAATGCTGCAATATTTTGCATGCTGGTGGTGGGGTGTCCACAATGTCCTCTGGGATTTACATTCTGCCTGTGGGCTGTGTGCAAACTCACATCTAGGGTGTGCCCCAGCAGCATATACAAGATGCACTTAGATCCCTCCTGGTGCCCATGCCAGGCCCGTGATCTCTGTCTCCTGGGTGCTGCTA